CAGCAACTTGTCTGTTCCCCTTCCTCCGATTCCCCAGCGCTGTTCCCCTCCCTCGATTTCCCAATAAAATCTTAAAAACAAAAACAAAAAAAACTGTTCGCACTTGCACATAAGCCTCAGTCCCTATAAAAGTCCCTAGCTTATTTCACAGTGGTGTCCTATAATAAACAACCACTATATTTGGAAAAATTTTAAAGCCTCACCTAAAGAAAAATAAATAGCAGCAAACATGTATTTTCAGCCATTATCAAAAATGTAAAAAAGACCCCAGAACTGAAAATACCTTCAGAAACTGATAAAATGAGGAAATCTCTGATGATTATTCAAATGGAGGGCTGACAGTTGTTCTGCTATACTAGGAAGAACTCACTTCTATTTGTGGCCTTTCAGAACACATGAAATGATAGGAGTGAAATGAAGGGCTCTGGGCCCCAAATCTTCATCATTCCTCTGCCTGCACTTGAATGGCATTATTGATATTAAGCACTGTACTTGATTAAAGAGGATACAGTACATAAGTACTATAGATTTGAAATATGTCCTCTCAGACAGAGAGGTCAGAAGCAACCATGTAACCTGGAATCGACCGCTCTTACTGGAATTCTAGCCAGAAAATCCACAATCTCTTTATCAACCAGGTCTGGACCATCAGTGATCATGTGCCATACCTCCTGTTCTCTACTTAAAACTTCCTTGCCTCCTCCGTTTTCTCTAAGGTTGAACCGCACATGCCACATAACTAGAGTCACCATATCTTCCAACTGGGGACACCTTTGAGAATGAAAAGTGGCTTTGATGATAATAAAAACAGGGCCATGGCATAAACCAGGACTATCCCAGGCAGCTCAGGATGTGCAGTCACCCTGTGGATAATTTCACCCAATAAAGCTAGTGCAACTCTTTTTTTCTGTCATTCATCTATCTGCAATCAAACTTCAGAATGATTGTACAAATGTTGTTAGTAAGCATGCACCAGTGTGACTAAGGGCATGGATTCAGCTGATATTCAAAAAAGAAAAGAGAAACACTCTAAGGAATAATGAATACAGTCCTTAATACCATCTAATTGCCTTTGGTTTGATTCAATCAAACATATGAAAAGCAGCCATTTTATCTTACCATCTCATTTCTTTTAAAGGGCCTAGAATCTCCTAAAACCTGAAAGCTAAGGCCAAAACAACAGTTAAAACTTCCTAAAAACTTGATGTTTCCTTAGGCTACAAAAGATGGGTTGAGAGAGAAGGAGCGCCAACCTTCCGGGGCTGGGTTTAGACTGCTTCCAGGATGCAAATCTTTGCTCTTTACAGGCTCTAAATTCCCCGAGATGGAAACCAGAATGACAACTTTGTAATTGCTCTTCTACACCCACTTCTTGAAGCTGAGACAACCATATTTCAGTAGTATGCTAGGATCTTGGAACACAGCAAAGAAAGATGAGTGGCCTGGAACAAGGATGACAACACTGCATTCACAAGTAAAGCCACAGTGGGATTCAGAAACCGGAGAGGACACAAAACTGCACTCCTCCAGCTTCCCTAGGCCAAAAAGAGCAGGACAGATAACACAGAGAGACAAACCATGGGTTTGCACTCACAGGCAACAGAGCTCTCCCAAACCTGATTCATATACATTTGGTCATGCGGAGCCCACGCAGCTGGGCCCTCTGCCTCCAGGCTGACTGCTATGCACAGGATGACTAATTCGTCAGCATAGACTAGGAAGGCCTTGGCAAAGAAATCTAAGGTCAGGCGAGCCCTGGCCCATCCCTCAAACTTCTATGTTCTTTTTTCCACAGAGAAATAAAAAATATCCTACACAGAGCCATTCACCAAAGGAATTAGAATGAAGAAAGGAGGAAGGGAAGGAGGGAGCCAGCTGGTGCTGTTACACATTTTCTTGAGAAAACCCTAATATACCATATGAATAATCTCTGGTACAATGTGATCATTTTCTAAAAATAGAACTCCTCATCAGCGTGAAAATCATATTTGACACCTTCTAGCACCAAATCCTTAAACAGAATTGCTTTTGTTCAAATCTTGGAAAACCATTTTTCTTCCTCTACCCAAAACTCATTTTATGACCCATCAAATTAGTATTCCTAATATTGTCTTCAATGTTATGGCCAAAGCACATTCCCTTTTACCTTCTGAAATGAAGACAGAATAGTTTTTAGGGCTGATGAGGGGAGCAGGGCGGGGGGTAGGAATCCATCCTCTCCCTAGAAATGGCACAGTAAGGCCACCATGCCAGGCACCATTCAAGGCCTCACATCAAGTAATGAGATGTCCCCTACCTGATGCTGCTTCCAGGTGGGTATAAGTGACCTCATTGTGCTCACTTTTTGCACTAAGCCTTAAGCCAACCTCAGGGACAGAACTGCTTCCTCATTTTCTGACACAGCTGAAGGATACCTGCTGACCACCAGCACTTAGGAGCACTGGGGTGGAGATATTCCCACCACCAGGCAGACAGATAGATGTACACAAACTGAACCTGCCTTTTTTGGCAGCAAAGGGGAAAACCTAAGAGCTCTATGGGGAATTAGCAGCCACTTGTTCCTCTTCCAGTATTTTATCCTATGTCACGAATACTCACCAGCAGAGAGAGCATCTACGTTGAATTGGAAAGAACCCAACCAGCAGCTCTACTCTGTGACCTTGGGCAAGCCAAAGACCCTTTCTGAGCCTCATAATGAGGATCACAGTACCTACCTCCACTGATATCGTGGTGGTTCATAGAAATGATGTTTATAAAAGAGTTTTTAAAAAAGTAAATCTTTCGGGCCGGCCGAGTGGCG